GGCTAGAATGGTGAAGGGAGGTGAGAAGTTGGAAGGAAGGCGATGGACGAAACTAAAAAAAAAATAGAATAAAATCCAAAGTTACAGTATAAAAACTTGAGCATTATCAAATAAATTGAGGATGTTGGTCAGTATTTTAATGAGTTTGGCCTTCGAGCATCAGACTGATTTCTCTTGACCACCACTATTTATTTATCACATACTGTGCCATGGAAGCAGCCGAACTCGCCAACCTACGCATCCAACAGAGTTATACAAAGGAACGTAAGATCGGTGAAGGAACCTATGCCAGCGTTTACGAGGGACGACAAAAGAAAACAGGCAGAAAGGTGGCAATCAAGAAAATTAAAGTATCATTCACTCTCTAAATCACCCCTTGGACACACACAGATCGGACCACTTATGATGGACTCTGAATCACAGGCTGGACAATTCAAGGATGGTCTCGATATGTCGGCGATCAGAGAGGTCAAGTTCCTGCAGGAACTCAGTCACCCGAATGTTATCGGGGTCAGTTAGTCATCTTGACGTTCGCCTGTGATGTCCCTCTGGGTGGCTGAGTGGGCTTCTCATAGCTCTTAGACGTCTTCTCTTCGAAAGCAAACCTCAACCTAGTCCTCGAATTCCTCGATACTGATCTCGAGGCCGTCATCAAGGACCGTAGTCTGGTCTTCCAGGCCGCCGACATCAAGAGCTGGATGTACATGACCATGAAAGGTCTCGACTTTTGCCATCAGAACTGGGTCTTACATCGTGTCCGTCGCTTCAAAGTCTTCGTTAAACACACTTAAACTCACTCTTGATAAATCGGTTTAGGATATGAAACCCAACAATCTGCTCATCGCCTCCGACGGTACCCTCAAAATTGCAGATTTTGGACTTGCGCGCGAGTACGCTGACCCGGGAACGCGAATGACCTGCCAAGTTGTAACTCGGTCTGTCGCATTTACTTTTCTCCAACCGAGTTTCGGAACTGACATACAATCGAGTTTGCAGATGGTATCGACCACCTGAGCTACTCTACGGCGCCCGCGCATATTCCGCCGGAGTGGACATATGGGCGGTAGGCTGTATCTTTGCCGAGCTGATGCTACGGACGCCGTACCTGGTGGGCGAGAACGATTTCGATCAGTTAAATACGATCTTCCGAGCGCTGGGCACACCCACCGAGCAGGAATGGCCGGTTGAGTCTCACTCCTGATCTCATCCAAACGTAATCATTGAAGTGAATTTCTAATTGGTCAGAGAGCTTGAAATTTTGGACAGGGTCATCGACGCTTGGCCGATTTCCTCGAGTTCCCTCGACAGCCTAAACAACCATTGGAATTACTCTTCAGTGCCGCGGGAGACGATGCAATCCGCTTCCTCGAACGCTGTCTTACCTACGACCCGCGAAAACGCATCACATCTCGGCAGGTAAACAAAGAGCCATCACTTCTCGTTCACAAATCTTTTGCTAACATGTGAATTCTCCAGTCTCTCAAACACGATTACTTCTCCTCAAGACCGTACCCCACCGAGCCCTCTAAGCTCCCTAAGCCCAAGGCCGCACTTGTCCCTCGTGCCATAGCGCCCCAGAACCAGACAGGTACAATGACGGCTAAGAAGCGCAAGGGATCAATGAAGACAGGAGAGGAACCGATGGTGGTGGAGGAGGATGATCGGTCAAGGAAGGTGGCCAGACGTCTAGAGTTCGGATGATGGTTTATGGTCCCGAGGGATACACCTGATATCTATTTGGAATATAAAAAAACATTTGTACGTTGTAGCGATAATTCCATTATTTGGTGTATTTTGCGGCAAGTTTTGTTATTCTCGGCTATCTTAGGGGGTTTTTTCCGTTATATTATCCTCTCCGGTTCCTCTTGATGACTTCTTGATCAAGTGAATACCCGGGGGACTTTATGCAGGCAGTTTCTGACCTCTTAAATTAATCCCTTGTCAAATTATGGACTTGGCTGCCTGTTTGTTTGAAAGCTCGAGTGATATCCAATTGTAGGTAATGCCTTCATTCAACAGCAGCCAAATGTTTGTGCGTGTTTCGAGGGTTTCAGAAGGCCGCGGCGAGATCTGGGAAATGTATCCGATGAATATCAATTTTTGAATTTTGGCAAGTGCTACTGCACTCAACCTGTATTTAGCACCCACATGGGGTCAAAGAATGGGCACACAGGTGGCCTACACAAAAAACTAGGTCTGGGAGCTGGGGGATGTCTGGTGTCTGAGAAAAACAAGTTTTAGTATATTTTTGCAGCCTGTAATTAATTCATATATCTAGTCACAACTGAATGTCTTGGAAATTATACTAGCCACATTAGTAAGAATTTGCGTAGCAGAAGGACCCCCCCCTCTAGGATAATAGTTTGCACCCTCAAGCTCCACAAAAGGTCTAGTTTGTTACAGAGGGCAGTAGCAAGACTACCCAAATTTGAGGATAGAAGGAAGTTTTCATCAGGTACATTTCTGAGAGCTTGCTGAGTTCTGTTAACAAGAAAGTGAATGCTTACTTGAAGAAGAGGGGGTTATATCGTACAAAAGAGAAAAAAAAAATGTTGACTGTTAATCCATTACCTTGATACATATTTATTTAAAATGTTTGACAAAACAAATGATCTTGTTATGCACTGTATGAAAAGAGTGTTTTTTTTTTTTCCCTTAGGGATTGAATTAAATTAAAAGTGAAAAAAAAACTTCCCTTCTCAAAAGACTAGACTTCCCTGTGATCTTCTTTTCTTTTTCTTGTTTTTTTTCTGGTGATTTTTTCATTGTTTTGGAAATCCTGTTCAAAAATACACAGTATATGTAGTTTGTTTTATCCATTTTGGAAGCCTTTCTCAAGCATTTGGAATGAAGGTTGAAAATTGAAAATCACTTTGTTCATCCTTTGAATTATGAGGGATCACATTGACTCTTTGTCAATATTCAATCAACTGAAGAAAAGTTTTCCCCAGAAGGTTAAACAAATTAGAGAACTAGAAGAATACAAGGAGTACAGTACTGGAGAAACAATGGAGAGATGTACTAGATAGGAATAATGATTTAACAAGAATATTCAACCACAACAAATGTTTCAACTAGTTTCAAAAAAGCCTGTTATAAGGAGCCAAACACATGGACACACTTCTCTTTCCCCATCTTTGGAAAGAGAAGTGCATACCTTCAATTTTTCCCTTTCCTTCCTTTTCCCTTATATGTATGACAATGGATCTAAAAGATGTTTCAATTCTGACTTAACCAGACATTCCTCAGATCATAATCTCACATTTATCCTTTTTGCTTTCTCACTAAAACTTGCTGAACCCACATACCAGGTACATACATATACACACACATATACATTTCTATCTTAACCATCTTTTATACCTCTTCTATTTGTGTTGATGTATGCTAGGTCAGTACCTCATTTCAGAGAGCAGAAAGGACTGATTTGTGTTGCTCACTTGTTGTCTCCATCTCACCAGAACCCAGATACCGGTGTTCAAATCCAGTTAGAATTTCTCACTCATTCTTTCATGTTCTTTGATGGCAGTCACCTTTTCCAGAATAAGGTTTGGGAAAGTTATTTGGGCTTTCCATAGGATCAGTCTGGGAAAATCTTCATGCACTTCTTGTTAATGGATGGTGAGAATGTTTCTCTGAGCCTAACTATTGAAAAAAAAAAAAAAAAAAATTGATAAGCCTATAATTCAATTATGCATCCAAACCATACCTTTTTCTGCCAAAAGTTTGTCTTAAAGTTTTCTCAAAAATAAAATATTAGCAAGAAAATTTCCTTAATTTTGAGATCCAGACCTGATGTTTTTTGAGTTTTTTTTTTGGGTGCCTCTGATTTTTATTTATAAAATTATCAAAGATGCCATCTATTTACCATTTTTAATACTTTTCATCTTTAATTTCAATTTTTTTCCCACACAGTGTCAAGAAAAAACAACCATTTGTATGTAAAACTTAGTATACTTGTTTTACACAAGGAAATTTGAGGAACAACACAGGGAATTGGAAAAAAAAAAAAAAAAAGTTGTTGAATGAGAGACAATACCAAAAAGAGTGTAGACTTGTGTTTGAATTGAAAGTGTATGTATAGACTAATTTTTGAAGTTGACTGTGAAATAAGTTGAGAGGCTTCCAAGGTCTTTAGTGCAAATTTACCAATTTCTGTCATTTTGGGAATACCTTGGTTACAAAACACCCTAGGAGTGAATATTACCCTCAGGGAGAAAAAAAAAATGTCAATTTATATCATATGGGCATCTGTTCAACTGTTTTTTGTATGCCTGATCATCAAACCCAGGTGTAAACTCCACATTCTATTTTTTTTTTTTTGTCAGGATATGTACCAAAACTTAAAGCACAAGGAATGTCACAGACATTTTTTTTTTAGGAATCAACAAATCACCTACAGTAAATTCTTTTTTACAGACCACATTTCTTTCCTACAAAGTAAAAGTCTCACCATACAAAGCTCTATGAAGGTCAAATCTTTGGCCACACAAATTTCTGGGCCAACATGGAATGGAAAAAAAATCCTGAGTGTTGTGAGGCTTAGAGAGTGAAGGTGGTTGAAGCCATCAATCAGGCTTGGATCCATCCTGTCAGAGAGTGAGTTATATGACACACCAATTAAGGTCTTATTGTAATATAACTGGTACTCCTGATCTGGATAAATAAGTCAATCAAGACTTACAGATCACAAGACTGGTTATACTGGGATGGACTAGAGAGAGAAAGTTGACTTCAAAGAGGCTCTAAGAAAGGGATTAATAACCAAAGCAAAAATGTAAAAGATGACAGTTTCTCAAGCCCAGTATTTCTGAGGAATAATAGTGCTAATGATAGTAAATAATAAAATGATTGAATGATAAATTGATTGAATAAAACACAAGAGAGAGAGAGAGATGTTGATGAGTGGTCATATGCTTATGATCCATGCCATGTTAAAGTGATCCACACTTATGCTCAGGTTGTGCTGCCTCCTACACATCCCCATCACCCTGGATACAGACTGGATAGCTTAGTGGTAAAGGCATGACATTGACATTGTGTCTCAGTGTACATGCTGAGGTCCCAGGTTCAAATTCTGGTCTAGTCAATTCTTTTCTGACCTCATGTCTCAGCAAGAGACACTGCCAACATATTTTCATCACATGGAAGCTTGCTATGTAACATAGCATGTCTTCATGTGATACTATGGACCATTTTTCAAGGTCCCTACCTTGGAAAATAGACCTATTGCATCGCATCTTGGCCTGATATGTGACATAGCATGCCTCTATGTGATGCAATTTTCTTGGCAGTGAGACAGTATTTATAGAGACTGAGAGTAAGAGAAATAGAATAAATCACAAAAGAAAAGAAGGAGTTCACCAGGCTACAAATGAATGAATCAGCCATTGATGATGTTATGAGAAACAGATGAGTGATAAGGAAACCACAAGCCAGCAGTACCACCAGTGCTGTTATTAAAGAACAAGGAAGCTAAGACTCATGGTCCAAGATCCAGACCTTTGGTCTTCCATTCCACCAGATGGGGACAGCTGGTTTTAGATGAGGCAGAACTAGGTGTGACCAATACATGTGCACAGTCCAACTGGAACCAAAACCACAAGACTTGTCTTCTTTGATCATGTGACATACTTATATGAGTCTGTCTAAATGATTACAAAACCAGACAATCACATGAACAAATGAGAGAAGGAGATATCTTAAAGAGGAATAGGGATCATGACAAAAATATCCAAGTGTCCAGTCCATGAAGCTCTTTCCCATTTTAAGCATCTAAATGCTACAGTATGAGTACTGGTTGTTACACTACAGTAACTACATGTAAGGGAATCTGCAGTTGTTGCACTAAACCCCCTCATGACATCAAATTTGATCTAATGCAACCTGGGTTTTCACACTTTTTCCCAATCAGGGCTTCACTAGCTAGTGATTCATCAAAATCACTAACTTTTTCATCAAATTTGATGAGAGCCTAGTGATTCACCAACTAGTGACCCTCTTGCAACCCATACCCATACACAACACCTGCAACCCACACACCCTTGACTTGACCTTGGACACACCTCCAATCTGCTTCACCCTTCCACTTCAACCTTTGATCAACTCTTTTCAACCACTGACCTTGAAGAATGCCAACAAAACAATCCAATAGTGACAGCAAAAAGACATGCCAAAGTGCAAATTGGATTACTATTGAGGAGGAACAGCTTGTAGTTTCCTACATCACAGTTGGTGTATACCTTTGTTTGTGTTGGTGAGGGCCTTCTTCCTGGTTCCCAAGCATTACATTCCACAGATGGTCCTGCAGGAAAACAAACAAATGATGGGGGGATGCTATACAAGAGTGGGTAAATGACCACTATTCTTCTCTAACTTAACTTTTGAGTTTGGGAAGACAAAGCTGAACAATCAATGTGAGAGGAATGGAATGAACAGTTAGAGAAAGATATTAGGTAAGAGTGAGTAGAATAATTAAAAAGGAGAGTGTTCTACCTAAAATGGGGGGGGCAATTTTATTTAGGTGATTAGTTAGAAGTATTTCGTAGCTTTTAGCTTGAGTGATCTTAATCATTTAGTAGGAGTAGAAAGCTAAAACAGAAAGAGAAGAAGTGTGTGAGTAACGAAAAACAGATACATTTAGGAAGAAAGATAAAAGGTGGTACATATGGTTCTTTGATCACAAGTGATGAAGAACCATATCAAGGATCAGGATGGGCAAGGTTAATAAAGGGATGAATCAGGTTAGAGACATTGACAGTCATGTGATATGATTATGCAGAGAAGTGTTTGACAGGGTATAGGCATAGTCTGACAGGTCCCACTCAGGATCATCATCCTCAAAGAGATACCATGAGTGTTGAAGGTGTTGTTGAAGTGTATTTAAGGGGGGCATCTGGTACAGATGCCCAGACTTGGTTTAGTGTACAGTGCACCACAAGTGTGGAAAATTTAGAATGTGTACCACCAAACTTACACTAGTGAGGGTTTAGTGATCACAAGTGTGAAAAACTGGGTTTCACCAGCTGGTGACTCCTAGTGCAGTACCATGTAGTGTAAATTTGGTGCAAAGTTAGTGCAACAACTGAGGATGCCCTTAATACTCATAATTATGAGTGTTCATATCTTACAGTGAGTGAATACAGTACTGTATGTAAAATGATTACAGGATTGATTTCATGTGTAATGATAACAGTAATGTATGTAAACTATATGTAATCAGTTAGCTATGAGATAATTGTAAGGTCCTTGTGTCTCGAGGGCCTTCACTGGGTGTCTGTCGAGTTCTCTCACAAAAAAACTCATGATAAGGGGTCTTTGGAACCCAGGAGATAATCAGAACCACTTGTTCATTCACTAGCTCCAGTACAGATTTGCCACACACAACAAGATCAGAGGACACAGTCAACAACAAGAACAACAAGAAGAGAAAAGAGTCAAAGCATTCAAGAGGAGGCTCACCCAGCTCCAGCACGGATTCACAAGGGAAAGGAATCCAACTGGAGCCAGGATGGGGGATATGTACTGTCTGTACAGATGAATCCCTGCCTGTGTAAACCCATGGAAGGGGAAGACCCCTTACAATAATCTAGTCTTCTCAGATTATGCCATGGCTGACACATCCTGAGCACCAAAACAATGTGAATCATAATGCATGACCAGGTGGCTGAACCAAATCTTTGTGCCTCTAGGCACTTGATGCCATCAAACAATGGCTTCACCTGGTGGGAAGCCCCATTTTTAGGCTGGAGGGAAAAGGTGGTTGGAGCCATATTACTCCTTTTTACACATACATTCAGATATTCCAGCTTTTCTAGGATTGTGGGTGTCAAATTGGGTGCTGTGACTTGTTCAATTTTCAGAGGAGTTATACATTCCAATGAGCAAATGAGATGAATGAAGAGGGGAATGAGAGTCATTAGTATTATATCCTAACCACCATTATCACATCTTTTTATGTGCAAAGTAATATGTTGTTGTGTCCATCAGATCTATAGATCTATAATTCTTTCTCTTTGTGATCTTTGAGGATACTGGAACTTGCATATCTTAGAATGACATGATAACCAAAGTGGAATCTTCAGCAAACTCAGACAGCTGCAATCTAGATCATGTTTTGGTGTTCTCCCAATCAACCAAAAAAAAAAAAAAAAAGAACTAAGTGCTCATAATTAATGTTTCTGAGATCTCCAATTTTGGTCATCAACAGTGAGATTATGTCTGTGAAAAAGATGAAAAAAAGAGCAACAATTTTAAAAGCCTAAATTGAGTGATATGCCAAGTAACAAAAACAACCACTTCTGCCTCTAATCCTTGATTGTATCAACACATCAATATTGATTTTTTTCCAAACTCACAAAGTTTGACTTCTTCTTCCATTTGAGCACTTGGTAGGGAATTCACCAAAGGCTTGAGCCATGGTACCTTACACTACAACTTCATTTACCTGTTTCTCTATAGAGAGACTATCTTTTGAAAAAGCTGTGAACCATAAAGTTAGACTCTAGCTTACTCCCTTTATTCAAAGTAAGGAGTTTCAAGCAAAGTCTCAAGTTTGTAAAAGCTTGCAAAAGAAAAAAAAAAAAAAAAAAAAAAAAAAAACTTTGGAGATGCAGTTTGGCTATAGAGAGATAGGTAACTGCTTGTAGTGTTATAAAAGATACCAGATTGTTGGAAAATATGGACCAGGTGATGAAGTGCATGGCATTCATCATGCTGTGCTTTGAAGTAATTGAAATTCCATCTGTTTTCTATGACACAATTAGATATTCAGACAAGACATGGGAACTCAATGACTGACTTCCAAAGGCCATATTAGACATAGGTCCAGGGATGAACGCGTGTATTGGTGGGAAGTGAATGTACTTACATGTGCCTTCTTCTTTTTAGAAACGTTGAAGAATTTAGTTTTTGTTATTTAGTGTGAGTGGACTTGATGAATTGGTTGTTCTCTGGAAACCCTAGCACATAACTTTTTACTTACTACATAGTGTTTTATTTAATGATACCGTTTGCCTAAACTGTGAATGATCTACATCAAGATTCAAACATCATCATCATTCTGGCTTACAAATTGAGATGATGTGATGGTCATCGTTTGATTTTGATGTACAATAAACTCTTCAGTCTGATTTCTTAATTCAAATTCCAGTTCATCATCGAGTCAACTCATCAAAAGTTGTGACCAGTAAAGTGTACCTACTTAAATCCAAATAAATTCACTCGGTATCATCCTATTTAGTATCATTCTTTGTGACTTCATATCACATCACCAACATTTATTCACAATGTCTATTCAACCTCAGGTAAATGGACGCAGCCATAACCTTCAGTAGCTATCAACCAATCCTAATCAAACCTCATCTCTTCTCTACCTTCAAATCCACTCTTCAGCGCGTAAAGCAATCTACAAAGACGAGTACCAAGGCAGCGGTAAAAATATCAACTGACGCCCAACTTGTTACCTCTGCTCAGAGTTTGAGCATTGTCCGGACCTTGGTTCAAACAGGAATAGGTGTCATCACTTATCTCAGGTCGGTCAACAGCCCTCTTCTCTACACTCAAAAACACTGAGATGACGCATATATTCCGGGGGGTTTCCTCCCCCTCCCCGCCCCAAATATCGGTTCTCGTTACCTTTGTGGTGTATTGAATTTCTTTCAGGGGTATCTTTCCTGATGAGTGCTTTAATGACGATAGGTAAGAATATAGTCACTTTTACACAAACTTCAAATGTCTGGGGAAGATCATGAGATGTTCAATTCTTTATCGATTATATCCAATCTTCAGAATAGGTCCTGATCGATCTGAAACAACTCATGGATCCGAATCCAGAAACACCGAAGTGTTCAAAAAAGATAGTCGCGAAGGACGTGGATATATAAGGGTCAAGAAGATTCGACCCGGTGCTTCCCCAGAGAGTGATGTAGTTTTGAACTATTTGGTTCGTAGTCATCAAACTTTTCAATCGACCATGATCATGTGTACTATAAATTGCTGAGCTAGACTTCACAGGACGAGGGTGTGATGGACGCCATCCAGAGAGGTTATCTTCGCCAATTACTCTTTGCTATGTACCTCGATCCAGAG